TATTATTAGAAGGTTGTGGTGAAGTGTATTTTGTGATGGAACGCATAATACCTTTAATATGGAAATTATTAGAGAGAACGGCAAATGTAAGGTGTTTTAAGTCTGGGTTCGGTGACTAGGGCTGAAATAGGTTTTACAGCTCTGTAAACAAGAGAGTCTATAACCGATGATTTTTGGGCCGGATAAGGATGTGAAAATATATTAAGGTATCGGTCTGAGTGCGTAGATTTTCTGTAAACACAGTGACTCAATGTTAGGTCTTACTTTCTATTGATAAGAATATCTAAGAATGGGCTGTTATTATTAGTTGTCGGTTGTAGTATGTTAGAGTTTAAATTTCCAAGAAAATCTACTAGGGATTCTCGACCAAGGTGTCCAGAGCAGTTTCCGCCATACATAGAACCCATAGCTGTTCCCGACGTTTGTTCAAAAATGACGGTTACAAGAAAAAGATGTTCCAGACAAGCAATTTTCAATTAAGGTGAGAAGACTTGGTTGCAGATTTCGGATTTTAATATATCTGAAATGTTGTTGAGAGTTTCAGGAATAGGGACTTTAGTAAAGAAGGATTCTACGTCGAAACTAACCAGAATATCTTGTCCATCTAATGTAATGCTTTTCAATTATTCAATGAAGTGAACACAATTAAGTGCGCAACTATCCCTGTAAAGGGTTTTAATATAGAAGCTAGATATTTTCCTAAAGAATACGTTGGAGAACCAATGGTGCTGACAATAGGTCGAAGGGGTAACCCTAGTTTGTTTGTTTTGGTTGTCTATAGAGACGAGGAATTTTAGAATCATGAGGGGTGACAGATTTTTTCACGGAATCTGATAGAGAAGAAGTAAAAAGTACTACAGTAGCCTGTGGAAGTTTCTGTGAAAAATTAGTATTCAGTGTTTTGTCAAATAAAATTGAAGATTTCTATAGGATTAAATATACCAAAAGAAAATCCGGACGCCTCGCCTTTTTATTTATAAATCGCGTTACGTCTGGAACCGGCCTTAACTTCAGGAATTTTTTTATCGTAAATAAGTTCATTGATTTATTGTCGTAAAAAGTCAACAAACTGCATTTGCGCACGCATAAACACACACACGCTAACGGTTATGAGGTTATCAAATAGCCCCGCCGACTGATAAAGCTGGTACATCGGCCTACTTCGATTAGTATTGTCATTGGTACTGCCGTATATAATGCCGAGGCCACACAGAGCGACGAGGTAGGCTAGAATGGATTTACCATATATTTAAAAATGCACTAGTATGTTGCATGTTTGGGGGCCATAGTTTAAAAAGTCGCATACGTTACCACGCCGCTTTTATATGTTCCATTCCTTAAAATTAGATTTCTCATTAATTTTAATATCGCGATGTGTCAAAAAAATGGCAGAAATATCCCGAGATGTTGAACTACTTTTCCAAATTTTTCTTCAAAAAATGCAAATTTTCCCTTACAGCAGCTTGTATAACAAAAATTTGAAAAAATGACGCTTTGCTAAAACTCCACCGACGGCGAGGCAATATCGAAGTTATAGCTAGTCAAACAAAAAAACCAAACCAAATAGATATGTTCTCCTCGAAGTTATGTCATGGTTATTGCTAACTCTGTATCCTGTTTTTCTAAACCTAACGATCACATTTTTGCACTTACTCTCATGACTGGTTGACAGTTTCTTGAGTGAATTTAATGAATTGTGGTGAATTAAGAGGCTGTTTTATGTGTGTTTCGTAACCTGTAAGAAGTGAAGCTGCTTTAGAAATTGTGGAAAATCAGTAACTATTTAGTGGTAAGTAGTTACCCTCATTTTGAGGTTATACCATTTTGAAATTCCTAATGAGATATTTAGTAAGTTATTTGGGCAAAACAAAGAAATTTAATAGCTGAAATACAACCATTTAACCAGATCCACAAGTACGACATATAAAGTAAGTAAAAAGGATAAAAGTACATTTATGACACTACATCATTACTTTCTAGATCTTCGTCTATTAATTTAAGGATTTAAAAAAAAGTAGTTTAATTTGAATCATGATTTTTAAGTGATTTAAATTATGATTGCCACCATAAAATATAGAGCATTTCATTTAAAATTCTTATGTCATAATATGATAACCCGATCAGTCAGCATCAAATCAGTTAAAATTTTTGATTTTTAGCTAAAATAGTTGAAATTGATTTATTTTGATGATGGGTATTTTGTTTTTATGAATTTTAATGGGCAAAGCTATAGCTAGTTCCCGTGGCTCAAAATCAAAATGCACGGAGACGGAGGCGCATCCTCGATATGACGAAATGGGGTGAATAAACTGTCATACGATTTATCTGGGCCAGCAGGAAGAAGAGAAACATCGATTAAAAGTGCGATGACAGTGTTTTGCAATTCGCGCACCCATAGCACGTCCGCGTAGTGGCGCCTGATTTAGCACGTCCGATTAAACAAATGAATAACCGTTAATGTGCGCGAATAGATAAATGTAATTATTTTTAAAACGGTCAAACGAAACAGGTCCGTGCGTGATTCATCGTAAGATATGGATTTGGTCCGGAAAGCAGGAAATGCGCTGACATTATTAAGGAAATTCCTTGCTAACTCACCACTTGCGGCGAGGAAGGCGCTGGTAAACTGGGTATATTGGTCGGGGTTAGGATGAAGTATCTAATGGAGAGAAAATGATTTCCAACTTTCTATACACAGATGACACCACTGCAGAGGCAAAAAATAATTAAACACAAAATAGAAAGATAGTTCTAAATACTACTTGATTAGATAGATCAAGCAAGTAGAGTTGCTCTACCATCCACGCTACAGTAATACACAGGAAGGAAGTTTTGATACGCTGATGGCAAAAAGGTCAAGAGGAATGTAACACAGTGAGATATCGAAACAAAATGAAGGATTTCATACAAATTTCGGTCTGCCAGATGATGCGTAATGTGGAAGATTTCGATAACGAGCTACTTCCAGTACATTAGTCACTGATATTTTGACCTTAGTTATGATGATGCCGTCAGATGTCACTCAGTGACTCTGGCTGTAACTGTAAGCTTTAATATGGCTAATGTTAGAGGACGTGGGGTACAAAAAAGGAAGCAAAAGAAGAAAAATATAGAACATTTTGGCAAAAGAATTATTTATATCGCAATTAAGTTGTAGTCTTCTTAACCTTGCGCATGATCCTTTTGATGTCAAATGGGCGCTTAGTATTCTCTATTTTTCCTTTGGAGTTTTACTTACGATACTCCGAGTGACTCGGATTCTTCCTGGAATTGTTTTACAAGGCTGATTCTGTTGAGTAGTTCACAAAGCATAAAAAGTACCAACACATATAAAAATACCATTATCATAACAAATTCTTTCCATACCCCTGTTTTTGGAAAATATTATTGGGCTTATTACCATTACCGTACAATTAAAAGTATACCTAATATTTCTTTCTCGTCGCTGGTGTAATTGGTAACTGCTTAGTTTGGCCTTATTAACCCGTTTGCGATGGAAGACCAGCTAATATCATATAGTGCTGCAGTGTTCTAGATACGAAATTAGTGGCGATCTCATTAACAGACGCGGAAGTAGTACCCGGAAGTCTGAGAAATTATTTGGCTCGATAGGCTCTATTTAAAAAAGATTTCCTTTAAAATGTTTGAATGCAGATCAAGAAACTGCTATAAGATCGTCGAATAATATTAACAAAATTATTATTTTTGCCAGAGAATTGATGCAAGTTGGAAAGAGCTATGGGTGCGGATTGTTTGAATTTTTGTTAATTGATTTACAAATTGTTTAATTTAATTAATTGTTAACACATTTAGTAGTTAGGGATGAAAGGAATAAAAAAACTTTATGGCGGAAGAACTTTCAATAATTTGTAACAAAATGGGTGACACCTTTTCTAAGGGGAACTTTTTTATTACTTTTGTAGGATACGTTGAATACAAAACCTTTAAGGAAACTGATTAGGGATTATTAAGTTTATCAAGTTAGCAAAGTGATCAATTTTTTCAATTAATTAAACAAAAATGGATGATTAAAATAAATACATTTTCTGTTTTTACAGCACAAAAACAATAACAATCTAAAACATTCCGCTCGGGTATGGACTTTATTAACACACGCTCGCGTGACAAACAATTAGTCTTACTTCAATCATTTTATTTATTGCTTATAAAGAAATACAAGTATTCTTATAACATGATCTCTAAAATTTTATGGTCAACTACTGAAACATTTTTCTGAAATCCGTTAAGAAGGCAAGGCGTTAAGTTTTAGAATTGATATTAACCTTCAACAGATATCCAATACAGGTGTAACATTATCCAGTTTATCCACAGAAAATTCCACATCATTAAACCGGATACTTCCAACCTCTTATAAAGAGGACATTTGAACAGTACGTACAACAGAGTTTCATTTTCGTGGAGATTACATACAGTACAAAATTCAGTATAGTTGAGTTTATATGACAAACCTGTATACCAGACTTTTGTGAAATAATTATTCGTTGATCTAAGTTGAACTAAAATACTGGTTGTGCGGAATGGTAAATTAGTGTTTAGGTATTCTGGAAAACAATCACTAATAGTTAAACCATTGTAAAACATCGCGTAGTAAGAATGTCGAGCGAAGTCAAGATCAGCCTGAAAGCAAATTTCTTTCTATTTATTAAGGAAGTCGGGCAAAATGCGTTTTAGAGTATTTGGAATAAGATTTTGCAACAGATAGGAAAACCGAGTTCACCTGCGCAACCCAATATTTAATAAGGCAAATATTTAATTTCCATAGTGTCCTCCAATTTTAATTGGCGATCGAAATACTGCCTTGGGAGTCTATCTGCCCCTTGTAAGTAACTTGACCAGAAAGTTTCGAGAAATTTTAAGTATAGTTACTTTTAAATGAGTTATACCATACTCTAGAAGATTTGGTTATTCCCACTTTAGGGGATGGTTAGTTAGATACGCCGCCGACAGAGTGGCGGTTGGCGCGTAATTCAAAAACTCACCACATTCTCGTCAAGCACGTCCCTCTTGGTAATCCCATTCCGGACCGTACAAAAACACGAAGGACCGTGCAACATCACCAACAAAAACACAGCGACGGCAACTCGGCACTTGGCGCGACGATCGCGGCACATTTTGCGACAGGGCGGGCAGCGCGCTCTTTAAACAAAGCAAGCTCTGGTTTACGACGATACGCCGCCACCTGCATCTAAATCGCCACGCGTAACCGAACGGTATATTTGCTCTAATCTCCCGTGCGATAACGACCGATATTGTTTCAGGAACGCTGTCGGTTTTTCTTTTTGCCGCGCCGCATATTGCGTGGAAATCCGATTTCGCAGACCGCAACCTTTTTCCCGTCGCCGTGCGCGCTCTTTCTCGGGATTTATAGAGGCGGCCGCGGCGAAAAAACAAAGGCGTGTGTTGCCGGTGCGTGGCGGGAAAAACGGCAGCGCACGGCCTGCCTCGCGGTTACTGACTGAAAATGAAAACGTCGGCGTTGGCTCTGCCGTCGTCGTTCAGCTGTTTGGGTGCCGCCGGTTTACCCACCCTTTTGTGACGCAGACGGGCGTGCGGCGACGTCGGGACGTTGCGTTTTCGCGACGTCACAATATCGCGATCAGCTGTAAGGGTGTTTTTTTTCTAAAAGACCGGCGGCTACGCTGAAACTGCGAGGTTCGTTGGGGTTGCGGCCCTTCCACAGGACGAATGACCCGGGATAGCGTCTCTATGAGCATTGTCACGTAAAACAATTGTAAAACGTAAGCATAGATAGATGTGATGCAATTTTCACACACATTTCTTCAATAACTCAGGTCAAAAAATTAAACTTTTTAACAGATGTTTTTATTTTGAAAACTGATTTTATGTAATTTTGATAGGCTGATTTCAAAAAATTTATGCATTTATTTATACCACGTAACTTTTTTTAGCAAATATTAAAAAAGAAACGATAATCCTAAAATAATCTATTTTTGTATTCTGTAAAAAAGTGAAATCCTAGTTAGGATCACACTAGCGGCCCTTCCGCGATCCCGGTAAAAGCTTGATGTGACGCCAGGTGCCAATAAATACTTGTCACGAAGTCTGGACGCTAACAATTCGAATGCATTCTTTCTAAGGTGCAAGTCTCTAATTAAATCATTTAATTCGCTCTGGTTAAACACTTCGGATTCGCTGAAATCTGGGCTGGAATTAGATTCCTGGGATTCTGGCGATATGACGTTTTCTAGTTCTTTTGGGGCGTTAGGGATCGGTACATCTGGACTATAGGGAGGATGATCTATCTGTTGGAACCCACATTCTAAAATGGCAGCTTGTGCAACACCAGCGGTATGGACAGGTCGTGCAAAAGACGCACGCCTCTGGTCAGTTTTCCTCGACGTTTAACACGTATGCAGTATCGCAATTTATGTAATAATGTTGCGTAATATTTATCATTAGTTTCTTTAAAATCTATCAAAAGAATTCCTTCACAATCCCAAAAGATCGTGGAATCACCTTTTTTGTTGACTGGCAGACTCGGAATTTGCTTGGAGGTGCTTCATCCTTACGACGCCACTCCATTGATTCTTTTTTCGATAGAGGGTCATAATAGAGAACCATAGTTTCATCTCCCGTCACAATAGTTTCTATCACAGGCTTCGGTTCCGACCCACGGAGTTCCAAAAAAGACCGCGCACACTCGACACGGCGTTGTTTTTGAATAGCCGAAGGGGTTTTAGGAACCCATCTTGCACTAACTTTATGCATACCTAAATGATCATGCAGGATTCGACGAACACTTGTATCAGAAAGCTTAGTAATTTCTGAGATTTCCTTGTCTTTAAACGTCGATCACTCAATACCACCTCTTCCACAATCGCAACAATATCTTCCGTTACGACCTCCACTGGTCGACCAGTTCTTGAATCATTTTCAAGGGACTCCTGCCCCATTCGAAAACGTTTTGCCCATTCTTTAACTACATCATACGAAGGAGAACTTTGGCCTTACATACCATCCAGCCTTATTTTAATAATTTTAGGTGCTAACCCTTCTTTTCAATTTGCGTTATTTGCGATATTTTTTTGGACACGTCTTGTTTAAAATGCTGTCAATAAAAAACTATTTGACGCAAAACTTCAATTTTTTTTTCGCAGCCTACTAAGATATATATTTAAAAGAAGACAAAGTATTATCGTGATACTGGAGCTGCATCTATGTCAAGCCGGGAAATTTTGGCGCTTACCTCTTACAATTTGTTTCTTATTTTTTCTGTTGAATCCTTGAACATTACACGAGCAAAAGTAAGAATCATCACTGTGATAACTAGGTCATAGGAACACCAAAACTTAAACATTTTTTTTCCTACCTTTTTGAAAGTTTGTTAATGCCCAGGGACTTATCTTCGACGCCAATTTTTACACCAAAATAAGCGTGGTAAACATTTTTCTAAAAAGAAGTTATAGTTTGCTTTTGCTTTATTACGACAAATCTTCCACAGTTATAACGAAAGTTGTTCACACAACAATAAATTTTAATCACCAAGTGAGTGCATCAGATTTTAAAGGTAATGTTAGTGCTGTCGTGAGGAAAGGAATTATTAGGGGGGCAGGCAAAATGTTTTGGGCCTGCCACGTCCTAATTATCCAGCATTTACGTCAAAAAGCATGAACATTTTATAATAAGATAGTAGTAGACAGTAGTATAACTTTATAAAACTAGGAATAGGATAATTATACATACAAAGTCCAATTTTTTAATTCCAATCCAAATAAGCCGCAAATAAGTAAGCAAGTAAGTAAGCGACTATTACCTTTTTAAATGTATCAAATCATTATTAGCAGGCAGTAGTTTATAAGCCTTTATAACCTTGTAGTGTGGAACTATAACTGGAAAACGCTATTTTTTCGTGTAGACTATAGCCTCCTTGAAATGATTAAGGATTTTTTAAACAATAAGATAGTATAAAGAAGGAAATGGGAGTTCATGAAACGTTTTAAAATAGGGTAAACATAATTGCATTGTCAACAGTATAGTTTCATAAGGTCTTTTAACTAACTAAATGTTTAATTTTTGACACTATTCTGTCAGTTGTTTTTTCCAGCTTAGGACTCCCAAAAAGCTTACATTTGCAGCTCCCTGGTCATCACATATAATGACGTATTACCTTTTAATTTTTGAAGCGTTAACCGTCCACTGTTCCAAGAGAAATAAATATGAAAGAAAACAAAATTGAAACAAAGTTTATTCTTAAAACCATGAAGTAAACAAGAAAGGTGCTCAATACTAAGAAAATCATAACTTCAACAAAAAGTGTAGTTATTTGCAGTACCTATATGCATATTTTAATGCCATAATCACGTAATTTAATTAATTTAATTAAGAAACAAGCCTCCCGCCTAAATTGACAACATACTGCTACCTTTATTATATATGTCTCTGTGAGTTTTAGCGTGTGAGTGTCGATGGGATTGTAGGGGTAACTTTGAAACTCATAAAGAAGAAAATGTTAGTTCATGAAATGTTTTAAAATAGGGTAAACATAATTGCATTGTCAACAGTATAGTTTCATAAGGTCTTTTAACTAACTAAATGTTTAATTTTTGCCACTATTCTGTCAGTTGTTTTTTCCAGCTTAGGACTCCCAAAAAGCTTACATTTGCAGCCCCTGGTCATCACATATAATGACGTATTACCTTTTAATTTTTGAAGCGTTAACCGTCCACTTTTCCAAGAGAAATAAATATGAAAGAAAACAAAATTGAAACAAAGTTTATTCTTAAAACCATGAAGTAAACAAGAAAGGTGCTCAAAACTAAGAAAATCATAACTTCAACAAAAAGTGTAGTTATTTGCAGTACCTATATGCATATTTTAATGCCATTATCACGTAATTTAATTAATTTAATTAAGAAACAAGCCTCCCGTCTAAATTGACAACATACTGCTACCTTTATTATATATGTCTCTGTGAGTTTGAGCGTGTGAGTGTCGATGGGATTGTAGGGGTAACTTTGAAACTCATAAAGATACGGGGTCGACTGAAATTGAAACCAAATCTTCTTCTTCTTACGTTTATTTCCAATTTACAAAAAAAGTTACACTAAGGTACGGTTTAAAATGAGCTAAAGCTAAGATGGAAAAGTGCAAAAAATTATGAGGTGTTAAAATTTCAATACTGGAATAGTAGTACAAAATTGGGACAGCCTACTAGTAATAAGGAAGAAGAAACTTAAGCCAAAAAAGTTCCGAAGGTTGCCCACATAATCCAACAAGAAAAACGTTTCAGCCTACTGGCTGACGAAAACATACATTTTTGTTAAATAAATGCACAAATTCTACAGAAACCCGCAGGTCCGTCTATGGATATAATTATAATTGCTAGATAATACACTATTTACGCATGTTGATAATGCAGGCAGTTTTCAAACGATTATGGAAAAACATGGATAAGGTCATTTTAAATCTCGTTTTCTGCCAACCTGAGGAATTTTTCAGCTTGGCTGTGGCATTTTTTTGGGCAATGGAAGTATGCCTAGATTCCACCAAATTGTTTAGTCGCGAGATGGGCCGATGAATTAAAGACCTTGATAACCAAAATGTAAATAAAATATGTATACTACGGCCCTATCGGCGTGAACTTATAATCTGATAAAATGTACTTTAAAGACTAACTTTTGTCTTAAGGTGGGTTTGAAATTGGTAACCGGTAACTTCTAGCCATTGAAGCAATTGCTACAATACCAAATTTTATGCATTTAAGGCTCAATTATCTCTCTTTTAGGAATAAACCAACAAAGAAGTATGTGGTAGATGACTTGCCAGAACGGTATAGGTAACCCGATTCAACCCTTTCGAGAAATTACAAGAAACTATTATATCATGTAGCTACTAGACATACCTATGCTGACAGTACAGGAACTCTTGAAGCAACTATGTATTTTTTTTTTGAGAAAGTTCATTCAACGTGCGCATGCGCGAGATTTAAAATTTCGTATTTAACCAATGACAGTTCTAATGACAAATTCTGCCGTTGGACCCATAAGGCCTTGGGATTTTCAACAAACAACATGGAAGCTGACAGATCGTTTATGTTTGGATGCGGCATTTTGCTGCAGTATTTTCTCAAAATATGTCGAAATCCTATTAAATTTTCTGTCAAAAAAGGAGTTAGGGTTAAAAGCAATGCAGAATTTGGTGTTCTCGTTTTTTAAGCGCTGGGGATACGATGTAATTTTTAAATTTATTTTTTTATATAAGCTATTTTTCCCATTTTTTTTTTAATTGTAAATTGATGCAAAGCGTTAGTTTTTATAAACTCATAGGTTTAACCTCTATGGAAATAACTTTGAGATGCTAGATATAGCACAACAATGTGGAAAAAATGTCAAGAAGCACCTCCTGTAGACAGTAGTTGACAATGGGTAATCCTAGCGATTTTACGACTAAGAATAATAAATGAAAATATTCTCCAAATTCATATTTAATATTTCATTACGA